ATTGGTGAAAAAACAGTCTCCCTATTTTATAGAGGANATCTGTAGGAATTTAGAAAAGAAGATCCGTAGATACATGCATACATACCTACATCTATATCCATCTCTCTCTCTCTCTCTCTCTCTCTCTCTTTCTCTCTCTTTTTCTCTGTGTCAGATAAACTTGAAATTCAACATTTTCTTATGCTTACATCTATTTCTAAAATTTAGATATCTTATCATGCATAAGTATTGGGTCAGAAGAACTGGCACTGAAATTTTCTACCTAATTACATAAAATAAGAACCTGATTCTCATTTTGGTAAATAAGGTCTTGCTGCCATAGAAGAAATCCTCCGTAAGACAGAAAATGTTTGAAAAAACGGTACCACCATTTATAGTACAGATTATGTTAGGTTCTGTTAAGTTTACCATGTGAATTATGCCTGTGGGGAATACTCTGTGATTAAACACACAAACACACATCTGCGCGGATCTGGCGATAGTATACGCACATCGCTCTGCAGTTCGTAGGCTTTCTTAGCCTGGATCACATCATTCTGATCTGGCAGGCATATCCACTGGTGCAGATAATTGCGATAATCAATGTCGCTGACCAGGACCTGGCATTTCTTCGCTTGAACAATTGACATCATGTCCAATGGTGTATTATAAATTCCTTTAGACTTCTCATAAGCTTTCTTGTATTCTCTGTCACTCTGGATTTTGGCAGCATGTATAGACCACACCAATTTGGGGTCATCTTGTAGAGTGCGGAAACCCACGTGGTGGCCTAGTTGCTTACGATAACCTTCCTTGTATTTGTACTAAAGTTGTGAGAAAATCAGATAAAAAGACAAATGAAAATAATGCAATAAGAGGATTTTTCTTTAAATAATTGTAGAACGTTTTCTCAGCCTTAATGTAAATTGGCTCAATATTGGTAGTTGTTATATATTTCAGTCCATTTAAAAAAAAATTAGATAGGACTATTTTTGGTAGTTTCACAGAGGACACGAGTAAATCAGGAGGGAAATAGTGTGATAAACAAGAATAAGACTAATACTAATAGTAATAATAAATAGCTAACATTTACTGAGCAATCACTATAAGCCAGACACCATTATGAGTGCTTCAAATGTGTTAGGTTGATCTATATAAAACTGCTGAGATTTTCAGTCAGAAATAGTTGAATAGTGACAATTATAATCAAGTTAACCCTCATACGTCTCTAAGAGGTAGATACTATTATTATCATATATTTCAGATGGGGAAAATAAGGGGCCATAGTCACCATCACCAAGGTTGCCTGGCAAGTGAAGCATTAAGTCAGCTGGTCTCCCAAGAGTTCTGAAGGTACCTCAGGTAGGGAAAGGTCATGTGTGTGGTTTTGGAGGCTGGCAAGGAAGACACATGTTTCAGGAATGGAAAGCAAGGTTGTTGGCTTGAATCAGAAGATGACAACTAAAGATCTATGGACAAGAGTTTCCATGTGATGAGTGTCTTAGGACTAGCGTAAGATGGTTTCTGTTTCTTTTCCATGTTTGGGTAACATTGGAAAGTTTGGAGAGAAGGGAGAGAGAAAACCAGGAATAAGGCAGAGACTGTGGACTGGCTATGGTTGTTAGAGGTAAAAATGAGGACTCAGAAGAAGAAAACAGCTGGATACACAAGATTAAAAAAAAAAAAAAAACCAGAAGAAACTGGAGAAAGGGAATAAGGTGGCTTAAAGATTTGGAGCTGCGGGTTGGGGTGGACTTGGTAAGATAATAATTTGACTATTGGTAAGTTTTAAAATTAGTGTTAAATGATCTTCATAAGGTTACTAGGAGGATTCCACGTAAGCCTCCAGCATATAATCTTGTACATAAAATATGATTTCAATCTTAAGTCTTATATGAAACTATCATCTATGATTTATATTTGTGACGAATGTCAGTAATATTGGGGGGATAAAATGACATTTTCCCCAAGAATTTTGGATAGGTTTTTCATGATATTTTGTTTTTACCTAGAAACAAACGGATGCCAATCTTAATGTTTTACATCCCATTTTAATATTTTTAAATAGAGAAAGCCTTTAGCAGATAAAATGACATTTTCCCCAAGAATTTTGGATAGGTTTTTCATGATATTTTGTTTTTACCTAGAAACAAACAGATGCCAATCTTAATGTTTTACATCCCATTTTAATATTTTTAAATAGAGAAAGCCTTTAGCACAAGACAAAATGCAATTGTTTGTATTTAAGGAAAAAAACAAAATTGGTGAAAAAACAGTCTCCCTATTTTATAGAGGACAAAACCCACAAGAAAATAGAAAGTATTGTACCTCACTGGCAATCTCTCTGGAGGCTTTGGCGTGTGTGATTTCAATGGCATCTGCTCTGATGTCATAGCCTTTCTGTTTGGCCTCATTCCAGTCTTTTTGATAGAGTTTCTATTGAGGGAAAATAGGTTTGTTTACAAGAATTGCAAACAAGTGAATATACTGAAAGTAGTTACAACATAAATCATAAGGTAATGTAACGAAGGCAGCATAAGAAAAAAGCATTCCTTTCTGAGTTCTTTTCATTGTTGGCTGTTTTCTTTGTGGAATACAGGATACTTTTGATTAAAAATTTAAAGCTAAAAATCTTCCTCTATTAATGTTTGAATATTTGCATTCATCACAATATGGTATGCATTTGAAAATACCCCACTACACAGTACATGGAAAATAAGAATCAATGGTGAAGCCAGAGAACCTTCATCAAGGTACTTGATAAGACCTGATAAGATTTTTTTCCTAATTCTGCTCTTTGACTTTTCAGAGGTTTCTGCTAAAAGGATGTGATATACATATCATAAATATCCTGCTGGTTGGATGTAATTTAAAATTGTCTTTTGGCTTTCTTATGGCTTTGAAATGTTAAAAGCCCCAGATCAACAAAAATATCTAAAAAGACAATAGAGACTGTTGAGAGTCAACAAAGACACCAGTAGGATTCGGGTATCCCAACTCCTGCAGGCTAGACACCCTGCCACATATCTAAGCTAACACTGAAAGGAGAGTTTCCATTCATGTTGCAATGGGAATGGTAGCTAAAGAGAAGATGTCTAGCACCAAAGCCACAGACATTCTAAGGTAATTTGTCCATTCCAACACACTCCATAAGCTGACAGATATTGCCCCATAAAGGCTCCGCATTCATGCCTCTTACATTGCTGATTTGCAAGGCATTGATCTGGGCCTGCAGCAAGGCCGGAGTATCTGAAGGAATGCTGACGTTGGCTTTATCTCTATTCCAGGCTTCTTGATACAGTTTCTGTGGAGAGAAGGGAAATATAGAAGAGATATCTGAAACATTAACCCTTAGCAACTATTTAATATGAAAAAATGTTTTTATGTATTTATAATAGTTAATTTTATGTGTCAATTTTATGTGGCTAGACCACAGTACCCAGATATTTGGTCAAACATTATTCTGGATGTTTCTGTGAAGGTATTTTTCAGATGAAATTGACCTTTATATCAGTAGACTTTGAGTAAAGCGGATTACTTTCCTTAATGCAGGTAGGCCTCATGCAATTGAAGGCCTTCCAGGCAAGAAGAAATTCTGCCAGTAGACTGCCTTTGGGCTTGAACTACAACCCTCCCCTAGGTCTCCAGCCTGCAGATTTTGGACTTGTCAGCCTGCACAATCTCAGAGCCAATTCCTTAAAATAAATCTCTCTCTCTCCTTATATACACACAGACACCCTTTTGTTTCTGTTTCTCAAGAGAATTCTCTCTAATACAATTCTCACTAGTACAATGTTATACTACTTATTATGGAGCATTATGCTACATGCTCAGTATTTAATAGAAGCTAAATAAATATTTCTTTCCCTGAACTTACATGGAGTGACATTTTTCATTTTAGTGCTTTAACGTGTGTACGTGTGGTAGCGGAAAGACATGTTGGTGTTTGTCAGAGTTCTACCTTGTGTGTACCTTCACTAAACTAGTCAAGAGAGTTTTAGAGTTGCTATCACCAAAATTCTTTGAAGAGGAACAGTCTACTTGCTCAGTTTGGGTTGGCATCATCTGAAAGCAGAATTTAGGAAAAAGTAAGTTGGGTAGAAAGGATGGTTCTTACCTCACTTATTTGCAGAGAATTGGCTTTTGCAAGGACAACTTCTGGAGTGTCAACGATGGAAGTGAATTTCAAAGCTTCCGGGCGCATTCTATAGAGTCTATCATTCAGGAGGTCTTGAGCATTCTTCACTCTGGTCATTTCTACGGAGCCTTCTGGCATCCAGCCAATGCCACGCAGCCATTCAAGGTCTGCTTTATACACATTCTACAAAGATGTTAGACAAAAATGTCATTCTGAATGCTAGACATACTACTCCTTAGTTGAAAAATCAAGTACCTGGGGTTGAGGGGACGATAAGCACAGGAGATGGTGCTTCCAAAAAAGTAAGACCTGAGACCTTACATGATTCAGTGTTTCTAATATTGATGACACATGTAATTTGTAAAAGCATCATTATTTATACTAACCATGGCTAATAATAATAAATAGTAATAAAGATGATTTCCATAATATAATTATTTGATATTTCAAAAAATTATATAATTGAAAATTTTTAAAAGGGAACTTTTGTTGATTCTCATGCTATTTTAATCCTGTAATAACTAATCCAAGGAAATGCTGTTCAGTGTTTTGGTCTAGAACAATAGTGGCACTTATTTTAAAGACATTCAGATGATTTATATCTGTCTGAAATATATTTTCATTGTCAGAAATTACAAATGACATTAGGAAAATAGTTTGGAATCTAGTCCAGGAATAAAGGATATGACTTCAGGAGGACTCTTTATCTCTATTTTTGGCTTCCCATATCATAACTCCTATATATAGGTTTTGTGCATGGTGAGTGGTGCCTCTCTAAGTTTGTGCAGTGTGCAACCTATGGGTCTGTCCACAGAGGCACTGACTGGACAATTAGCAAATCTGTGTCCTCCCATTCCCCTTCCCCAAAGTTCACGTTACGTACATCACTCTGCAATTCATAGGCCTTCCTTGCTTGGATAACATCATTTTGATCAGGTAAGCATGTCCAGTGATGCAGGTAATTACGATAATCAATGTCACTGACGAGAGTCTGACATTTCTTAGCCAGCAAGATGCCTAGCATGTCCACTGGGCTAGTGAACTTGGTCTTCCACTTCTGGAATTCCTTCTTGTACTCCCTTTCACTTTGAATCTTCCCTGCATGTATGGCACACATAATCTTGGGATCATCTTCAACACTCTGGGCTCCAATGTGATGGCCTTTTTGTTTCTCATATGCTTCCTTGTATTTGTACTAAAATGCCAGAAATACAAGTTTAGATATCCAATTTTAGCATCAACTCATGCTGACAATTATGAGCAAGGATTTCATATTACAAATATTCTTGCATCTCTGAATAATTTAAAACTAATGTTTTACACAGTCATACAAATAACCATAGTGTAATCATATATCTTTATGATTTTAGCATCAACTCATGCTGACAATTATGAGCAAGGATTTCATATTACAAATATTCTTGCATCTCTGAACAATTTAAAACTAATGTTTTACACAGTCATACAAATAACCATAGTGTAATCATATATCTTTATTGGTAGAAACTTTTCATGCAGCAGCTCTAACTCCCATTCCAATATGTATTTTTCTTCTCTGTGACAATCAAGGGAAAGGTCTTGGAGGCTAGAAAGCAGGAATGGGAGAACACATGTGGAAGCAATTAGAAATGTGTTCCACCAGCCACATTATGGGTTGCTCAGCATTGCAGAGACCAAGGGGACCCAGATGGAAGGTACTCACGTCACTGGCGATATCCCTGGAGGCCTTGGCACTTTTGATGGGAATAGCATCTGCTCTCAGATCATAGTCCTTCATCTTTGATTCATCCCATCCTTTGGTGTAAAGTTTCTAGTCAGGGGATAATACACAATAGAAAATAAAATTGTTTTAGAAAGTTAATAGGCCAATTACAGAAAAGAAATTCTTAAGGTGGAAAAGCATTTTAATGACTCCTACTAAGGCTTAAAAAACAATCAGAAAATCCCTTACTTGGCTGATATTGGCAGAATTGCTCTTGGCCAGCATGATTTCTGGGGTGTCTGGCATCACGTGAATGGAGGTTTTGTCAGCATCCCAAGCTTCCGTATATAAATGCTACAGAGGGGCAGGGTATAAAACCTTTTGTTAAAGCCAGTAATATTACAGTTACTATCAAATTTAACTCACATTTAACATAAAATAGGTCCTTTTTAAAGCTATTTGAAGGTGAGGGAAACAAAAGGGTTGTGAGGAGAGTAAAGCATGGCAATATTTGACCAACTGTATTATGGTTTCATAACTAATATGAAGCAATACAATGGTCCCAGTTATTAATTCTTTTCATCCAGTGAATAACAAGCTTACTCATCGGATCTCCAAAGATGGAGCTCAGTTACAGACTATGATATAGTAGAAATCTCTGGATTTCAGGGTTAATCCCAAGTTCAAACACAACTCCACTATTTCCAAGCTGTATGATCTTGAAAAAGGTGCGTAACTCCTCACATTCCTCATTTCTGAGAACGGGATAATTTTATATTTTTTATTGAGTATTTCTGAAGATTAGCCATAACATATGTAAAATGCCTGAGTCATAGTAGGTACTCAGCAATTTTTACAGTGTTTCCTATTATTATCATTGTGGTTGCTGTTGATGGATGTGTTGTAAAATAGAATTTCTGGAATTCTGTACCTCAAACTCTGGAGTTTGCTGAGAGTTGATTTTATATTGTGCACTGATCACTCAATCCTACTACCTAAATGATTGGAAGATGTTCTAGCAGATGTGGGAGAATTCAGGTAAGTTCAATTCAATCTAAGATATGCATATTAAGTGCCTACCCACTGGATAAAGAATAAGCAGATTGATAGAACTCTGGTGGAAAGAAATGATCATCTGTCTTGCTTGTGTAATAAAACTGAAAGCAGAGTAGCAGTTCACTTTCAAAAGCAGATTTCCACAACTTCAGGTGGAAGATCAAACCAAGCAACTAATTCAAGCACTGACACTGCCTTTGAATGGAAAATTGAATGGCTTATATTCCTTACCAGATAGACAAAGAAATGCCAATGGTCTGAGTCTGCTCTGCCTAGGAGAATGTGCAGGGAAAGGTGATACATTTGTGATGTCTCCTGGTAACTGCTCAGAAGGGTGTGTGCATTACTCTAGGGCAATCATCACGGGCAGTGCTTCTACATGCATACATAGAATTAGGGGCACAGTGTTGAGAAGGGCTTACAGGGCCAACCAGAATTCAAGCAGATACTCTGTTGGGGCCCATTCCATTTCTTTTCTCTGGGGACCCTTTAGGGCATTTCCTACTTTATGAGCCAAGTCCATGCAAGGTATGACTCTGGCAACAGGAAACAGCTGGAGACTCACCTTGCTCATTGTCAGGGCATTATTCTTTGCCAGAACAATTTCTGGGGTGTCTGTAATAGATGTGAATTTGAGCTGGTCTGCAGGCTGGCGGTACTTTCTCTCACTCAGGATTTCTCCAGCTCTCTTCACCTTCTTGACCTCTATAGAATCAATAGGAACCCATCCAATGCCTCTCAGCCACTCAAGATCAGCCTTGTAAATAGCCTGAAAATAAAATAATGTCCAATATTTGTAGACGTTACTAGATAGCCCGGTGCCTGATTTTGATTTTACACATGCAGCTAATGTATAATTCTGAATCTTATTTGTGTGAATTTCTGGGATGACACACAGGATTGCCTTTCTTTGGTTTAGAATGGCTAGTTAAATGCCTTGTTCATGAAGGTAGCCAATATTTGCTGTTTTAAAGACCCATAAAATCTCTTTAATAATATGCAATTTCAGTAATAGAAAACTTTAGGGAAATTACTGCCTGCTTCCTGAAACAAAGTGTTTATCCTCTGATTCCTTGCGTAGGAATGATACTCTGTTAGAATACAGTTGGTTCCTATCTCACTGGGCAGTGGCCTTCACAGCCAGTCGTGTGATATAAAGAAGGGATGGACATTGCTGGTTGACCACATATTGCATTATGTGTTTCCCTGGGACAACAAGATGGCATCTTTTGTCATATGATTCTATGTACATGCTACTAAGTCAAAAAGTACATTTTTTTCACTCATTTATCTTATTCTCAGTCCCCTTTCTTGTCTTAGAATTCAAGTAAAAAAAAAAAATGACATTTTGGCTGGTTAGCTTAGTTGGTTAGAGAGCAGCCTTGTAACACCAAGGTCAAGGGATTGGATCCCTTGCATCTGCCAAAAAAAATTTTTTTTTAATCCTTTCATTTTTCTTCTTTGAATATAAAAAATTGGCTGAAGGAGAATTTTTCTCATCCCTAAAGTCAACAACTCTTTTAGTTTTTATGGCTTTTGGGGAAACTTTTTAACTGTGCCACTACTTTTATTCTTCCAAAAGTGACAATTTAGTCAGAGCTTGATTCAAACCAGGAGCTAAATATCGATGAGGTAGTATTTGAATCTCCAAAGGACAATCTACTGGCCAACAACAAAAGCCCCTAACATATTTCTGGGAAGTTGTTGTTTTCAGTTTCTTAGAAAAATTGTGTCAATATGTGTAATTCATTCCTAAGCTTCCATTCACAAGTTATAGTAGATACTTCCCATAAGTTGTCAAGAAAAAGATAATGTAATCAATTCATCTGGAAAATTAGGTTGCTTTAAACCAGAAATTCTTAACCTGGCATCAATGAACTTAGAAAAACATATAACACCCTATTTTCATTAACTTCTAGCTGAAATATAGCATTTTATTCAATTATATATAGGTAACGTTTTATAGTAGTATAGACATTACACGTGACTGTTAGCAATAGAAATCACAAATATTTTTATGTCCTATTACAGTTGTTGCACACATCTTGAAATATTTATGCTCATCACTTCTTTGAAATTAAAGTACCTGTAGTTATTATACTCACAACTAGATCTTTTCATTTAATGTGTTAATAAAAAAGCATATAGATATTACTTCATCACAGATTTGGTTTAATATTTTGATAATGACATTTTGATATGATTGGTTTCTTTTAAAACTAATGTATATGTTTTATTTTATGCATTTTATAACATTATCATGAGAAGCTGTCCACAGGTTTCATTAGACTGCCAAAACAATGCATGACACAAAAAAGTTAGAACCCTTTTCTAAACTTTCTAAACACGTGGCTGAAGAATATGAGACCACTCACATCACTCTGCAGGTCATAGGCCTTCCGAGCCTGAATGACGTCATTCTGATCGGGCAGGCAGGTCCATTCATGTAGGGGATGCTTGTAGTCTACATCGCTGACTAGGATCTGACACTGCTTGGCCTGCACCACCGCCAGCATGTCCACTGGGCTGCTGAACTTGGTCTTCCACTTCTCAAAGTCCTTCTTGTACTCTCTGTCACTCTGGATCTTGGCTGCATGGATGGACCACATCATCTTGGGGTCGTCCTGAATGTTCCGGGCCCCAATGTGGTGGCCAAGCTGCTTGCGGTAGCCTTCCTTGTACTTGTACTGAAGAAAGAAAAGGGATATGAGTCTAATGATAAGAACATACATACACCACATTTCATAGATTCACACACATTCTTTTTATTTTCCCTACCACTATTGTGAGGGAAAAGGTGAATATTATCAACCTCATTTTATGAAGTAGGAACTTAAAGCCTAGAGGGGTTAAGTGATTTGTCTAAGGCCATATAACAAGTAGATGGCAGGGGTGAATCTAAAATGTACACCTTCTCATTCCTAACATTTTTCCCATTTTCTAAACTACACTACCTAGTTTACATTTGATTCCTTAACAGGTAAAGGTAAATGTTTTGTACAATCTAATGGGGCACCCACATGGTTATTTTTCTAAAAATGTTTGACGTTAAGAATATCTTAGAAAAAAAATTTTAGTTAGAATTTATAATGAATTCCCTGGTCCTGGATATGTGTTTCATTTAGATAGAGTTTATATGTCACCAGGAAGCATCTCCCTTATTAGCCTGTCAATGTTCTTGAACTTTCACCATGAGAGACTCTATCTACTTTTGATATTCAAGAATAGGGGCTGGCTGGTTAGCTCAGTTGGTGAGAGTACAGCCTTGTAATTCCGAGATCAAGGATTCTGTTCCCTATACCAGCCAGCTACCAAAAATAAATAAATAAAATTCAAGAATGAACACAGTGCAGTCCATTTTACCATGAGATAATCATGGTATTGGCTTTGTCAGCTTAACTAGAAAAGGTTTTGATAATAGAAGGAATGAAGCATAATTCTAAGGCATGGGGCCTTCCTAGAGAAGGAATGTCTGGATTTGGGTCCTAAGGAGGCCTGGGACTGAATGAGGACACTGGCCCCCCTCAGGAGGTGTTTCTCATAGGAAAAGTAGGAGTAGAGAGAAGTGGCAAGTGGTTGCTGAGAAAAAGCTTTGCTTACCTCACAGTCTGTTCTTGTGTCCAGTTAGGGGCATCTTAGGAGAACCTCACTGATAATTACAAAGGATGAGACAAAACTCTAAAATGTATCCACCAGGTGGTCTTCTTTTAATGCCAGACTGAATGGATACAAGTAGTAGGAAAGAGTTCACATTTATATTGGCTGATTTACATGTGGTGTAAATCTCTTTAATTTCACAAACATCTGGATCAACTATTGCTCAATTTTTGAGGTTCAAAAATATCACCCCATTTTTGGTGTCCATGAAACACTTATTTTTAAAAAAATAATACGTCCCTATCTTTGACTGATTAACAGGTATAATGAACATAGTTCTTTGTGCTTTTCTTTTCTTTTTTCCATTTCCAACTTTGTATATGGAGAATCACTAAAGGGAATTGAGACTTACAGGGACAACTAAATTTCTGGTAAGAAAAACTCTAAAAGCTAATATCTGCCAACATCTTTGAGTAAGAAATGCCTCTTCCCAAAACATCCACTTACATCACTAGCAATATCTCTTGAAGCCTTGGCTGCTTGGATTGGGATGGCATCCAGACGTAAGTCATAGCCCTCCTTCCTGGACTCTTCCAAAGCAAGTTTATAGAGTTTCTGTACAGAAGAAAGACATTATTCATTGATCATTTCATAAAAAAGATGCTGTTTATTATTACATTTTCTCTGTCCTCATTTAAACTACAGAAACAAGTAATAAAGCCAAGTTTTAGGGTGGGTTTATAGATAACTTTGCTTCATAGCTGCTCAAGGCACATGTTCTAAACTTTGGGATGTTATTGACTTGTAAATTTCAGAAAATTTTTTTTGGAAATCAGCATTTGATTGCCAAAATTTTATTTCACCAAACAAACATGTGTAAAAAACAACTATATACTATGGCCATCATAAAATTAAAAAAAGGACATTTTCCTTTTTTGTGTGTGTGTGTGTGGCCGGCTGGTTCTTAGTGCTAAAGAAGGGGGAAGAATTAGGAGAGTATCTAAAAATTGGATATATTTGGGTTTATAAAAACTCAATGCATTGTCCTTATTTTTTCTCTTTTTGCTGTGGACTATCATCTCAGACCATCATCAATCTGTGGACCTGGGTTTTGGGATCATTGCTCTTATGAAAATTTTGGTCCTAACAGAGATGCCTGGAAAAATGCTGGCGAATAACATTAAATGATAACTAGGGCATATTGAAGCAGCAAAATAATACAGGGCATAATAACTTACTGAGTTCCAAACTAGTGCCTGCTTACTAAATAGCTGTTAAATACAACAATGCCTGATATCCACACTGACCTGTAGGGGAAGGTTTTAAAAGTAGAATTCCTACTGGGATATTTCTCTGTAAGCCTTCCATTCCCTGATAGTCTGTTAATAAAAAGCTGGTTTACTTTGTGGACTCAGCACATAGCCCAAAACTGAATCAAGGGGAACCATCTCTTTTACTGACAGTGTCAGTTCGGAGTATGTATAATAATAGAATAATCAAAACATTTCACTGAGGAAACAGTTATAATCATTCATTTTTGCCTTTCTGCTCATTACGAGAGCAATGGTTTACTTACATCACTGTAGTTTATTTGGTTGAGTTTGGCTAACATGATTTCTGGTGTATCAGGCATGACATGAACTGTTTTCTTGTCATTGTCCCAGGCTTCAGTATATAAACGCTGTTAAAAAAAAAGAGAGATGAGAAAAGTTATTTTGGCATTCACAGACTTTTTTTTTGATTATGTGCCAATCATATCTCTTGTATACAAAGTAGAAATAAAATTATTAAAACTACATAAATTCCTACCTTTTTTTCTTATTAAAATTCTTTAGATAATTTAATTCTTTAATTGTTAAGGAATTTAACAGTTCTGAAAAGTATAACTGGGTTGTAGTATTTATAATATGTCTAGGAAAGAATTACGAAATAATTACTGCGCATAGTATTTTTAACATCAGTTGAATATTTTGAAGTAACTATGGTACTACAGTAGAAAAATCATTTTAAAAGATATCATAAATCTTATAGTAATCTTTAAAATGTACTAATATGTCAGAATTTTTACCTTGTTTTAACAGTGAAAATTGAAAACTCACCTTACTCATGTTTAACGCATTGCTCTTTGCCAGCACTTGCTCTGGAGTGTCAGTAATACTGGTAAATTTCAGTGCGTCCGGACGCTGGCGGTAGATACTCTCACTTAGTATCTCTGTGGCCCTTTTGGCTTTAACAACTTCCACTGAACCAATTGGAACCCAGCCAATGCCTTTCATCCATTCACGGTCTGATTTATACAAATTCTGCAGATCAACAGATAAAAAATACATTTATTAATAAGTGGTTTAGACTCATAGTCTCAAAATTGGCCATATTAGAGAAATTCAAAAGCACTGATAAGCAGATAAAGCTCCCCGCATAATCGCCCACTTATAGACATTATTGAGCCCTGAACATATTTTTTTTCTGAGAATTTTTTGGTACAGAGGATTGCACCAGGAATGATGAAAGGTTTTTTTTGTTGTCGTTTTGTTCTGTTTTAAGTAAAAGACATGGTCCTGCCCTTGAGAGTATTACAAGATTGTTACACGGAAGCAGTGCTTCTTTAGCCTTGGAAAATGTGCTCTTACAGCTCTAAGTAAAACTACACATTCAGAACAATGGCATGTGAGTATTACAATCACAAATACTCTTGCCTTCATTTCCATCTTCAAAAATCACAAAATATCAAGTCTGGGAAAAAATGTGGTGTTGTAAAGACAATATATTAGATATTTCCCTAATTATTATTTTACTTTACTCTCAATAGGACATGGTATATATTAATAAGGATTAGATGGTTGGTTTTGAAAAAGACAAGAATGTCTTAGCATTTTCCTGTCACTAAATATAAAACATGAATGTTTATTAAAATAATGTATCCCGGTATACTTTTCTTACCACTTCCTCCACTCCTCCACTGACACACAAACATTTCTACCTCCTTAGCCAAAAATTGGTAGTGGTATATTTTTGAGGACTAAGTTTTATCCAATTCAGACAAAGAAAGCCCAAATCACTAGGAATATATATGCCTGTATAAAATTGAAAATATTTACTTTATTTCCTCTTTTACATATAACTTTGGGGAAAGAAAACATACTGTAAAACAATTAAAGTGCTTCCAATGAGGAACTCCTTTCAGACATTCAGTTGTATATTGTTTGAGATATACCAACAAATTTCAGTCCATTTGCACTAGTCAGAACCCACGGACATGTTTCAAATCTGCTTTCAACATGCGGAGCCAGCATCAGGGATACTCACGTCACTTTGGAGGTCATAAGCTTTCCGTGCCTGAATGACATCATTCTGGTCAGGTAGGCAGATCCAGTCATGCAGAAAATGTTTATAGTCCACATCACTGACCAAGGTCTGACATTTCTTGGCCAAAACAATACCAAGCATGTCCACTGGGCTGCTGTACCTTGTCTTGTATTTCTCAAATTCTTTCTTGTACTCGCGGTCGCTCTGCACTTTGGCAATGTGAAGGGACCACATAATCTTGGGGTCATCATGTACGGCTCGGGCACCAATGTGGTGACCCAACTGCTTGCGATAAGCTTCTTTGTATTTGTACTGCAAGAAAGGACGCAGTAAGTAAGGAGGAGGCACCAAGGGCTGGTCCCTGTTCTTTCTGTGATGAGGTTTTTCTATGAAATCCTTGAGACAGCAGGGAAGTTTCATCAAATGTGCTGCGTGATGTTACACACTGGGGCATGTTTATACTCCCAAAGAAGAGGGTGTTGTGTTCACTGGCGCGATAAGCTTCTTTGTATTTGTACTGCAAGAAAGGATGCAGTAAGTAAGGAGGAGGCAACAAGGGCTGGTCCCTGTTCTTTCTGTGATGAGGTTTTTCTATGAAATCCTTGAGACAGCAGGGAAGTTTCATCAAATGTGCTGCCGTGATGTTACACACTGGGGCATGTTTATACTCCCAAAGAAGAGGGTGTTGTGTTCACTGGCACATCTCCACAGAATAACTCCACAACGATTCTTTTATATGTGCTACAGAACTATATATTGGCAAAAAGTGATAAAAAGTGAACATTTAAAGGGTGAGCCCAATTATAGTGATAAACCATGACAGTGTCTCAAATGTCCATCACGTGGGTTAGCCCATCTCAGAACACATCCGGGGCATGTGTTTACATGGTTCATTAAATTTTTTTTCTAGGGCATTCTGGGAAATTATTCTCTCCTCACAAATAATCTGGAAGGGGCAGTTTAAAAGTGGACAATTTCTGTTGTTTAACAGGTACAGAGTTTCAGCTTTGCAAGATGAAAAATTTTGTAGATCAGTTGCAGAACAATGTGAATATACTTAACATTACTGAACTGTACACTTAAAAATGTCAAGATAGTAAATTTTATATTGTTTTCCCACCACAATTAAAAATTTCTTTAAACCTACAAAAAAAAAAAGGATGATTTTTCTACTCTTGGATTAATATTTAAGATCTCCAGGAATCTGATGTCTTCATTTTTAGGGTAAAGAAATATTGATTCTGTGGACCCCATAGCAAGGAGATTTTTAGCTTTTTTTGCGATCCTATATTCTTATTCAAGTGATGGGAAAGAACTCAGTTAAGCCAGCTTCTTTCCTGGTATTTTGCCTTGAGTGTATCTTAAGGAGAGCTCATGAGGTTTTATGAGTGGCTCAATATAAGTCCATCTAACTTTAGTCAAGGTGCTCCTATCAAGTAAAGACCAAAAGATAAGTTAAAGGAACTACATTATATTCTAGGCTTTGCTTCTATGTTGCTTGTGAACTTGGGCAAGCTATCTGCTGTCTCAAGCCTCAATTTATTTGCCTGTGCAATAAAGGAGATTAAGGTGGATTATGGTTAGAAAGACTTCCAGCTGTATTCCAATAATGTGATTCCCCATGCAGGTGGCTGGCCTGATGCTAACAAATGTTAGGACTTGATCATCTCTTACATCACTGGCAATATCCCGGGAGGCCTTGGCAGCCACAATGGGAATGGCGTCACTTCTCAAGTCATAGCCTTCTTTCTTGGCTTCTTCCATGGCCTGGCGATAGATATTCTGAGGAAACATGTAGTAGCTTTTAGATTCAGAACTCACTTTCACTCTCAAAATGTATTTTTTCAAAGGAGAACTACTATTGGATGCAACAGTGCACTGGCATGCTCAGCCTTAACTTTAGAAAGGAACTCTTTCTCTTACTCTCTATTTATTCAAGCTATTTCTTGAAATGGAAATTTCATACTCAGCAAGTTTCACATCACAAATTCTCTGCACAAATCCTTATAGATTTTATACATTATATAAATAGTTCTCAAATGTGTTTAGATTATGAGTTAAAAACACGAAATTGATATAATTTGTTTTTTCTGTGAATTGAGAAAACATCAACACTGCTCAGTTTCTGTGGCAGGACAGATGCACACAGAAAGCAAAACACAGGCGCTCCATCATTAAACAAATCCTCTATACCAATAGTCTTTAGACTTTTTTTTGTGAGCCACTTACAAAAATTTTGACCAATTCTGTATCTTTTTTGCTGGAAACTGAATGACCCCCCAAAGCTCACTGAAACTTAATCCCCACTGTGACAGTACTAAGACGAAGGGAAATCTTATTATGGTAGTTGAAAGGTGGGGCCTTTAGAAGCTGATTAAGTTGTGAGGACTGTGTCCTGGTGAATGGATTGATCCATTCACAGAATGATGGGTGTGGTTCTGATGGCTTTAAAAGGAGAGTGAGTGAAGGGTTAGCTCTCTCTCGGGCTCAGCCATTTTGCCATGTGGTACCCTATGTCGTTGTAGAGTCACCACCAAGAACAAGGCTCCACCAGATGTTTTCCCTGGACTTTGGACTTCCCAGTCTCTGAAACTGTAAGGAATAAATTTTATTTCTTTATAAATTACCCAATTTCAGGTACTTTGTTACAAGCAACAGAAGCGGACTAATACACCTCTTAAAACAAAATAAATTTTAAATAATATTGGTATTCAATAAATCAAAACAAAATGTACATTTTGATAAGCAATTTTTAAACATAAAAGTATAAATTTATTGGATCTCTTAATGAGATTTTTGTGACCTATAAGAGCTCATGGTGTCTTGATTGAAAAAGATCTTGATGGGCACTGATAAATTAAACTATCTATTTGGCAGAGTTTTGTTTTGATTTAATACTCTCAGGCATGTATCACAGTAACTACTGGGTTAGGTATGCCTTTTTTCTTTTTCTTCTTTTTTTAAAAACAAAATCTGTATATAGTTGTAGTTAATCAAATATTTTAATGTATGCTTTAATATTTTAAATGCATATTTCCCTTATTTTTTAAAATTCCAAACTTACAGACCTTATTTTTAAAAATTCCAAATTTACAGAAAAGTTGCAACAACAGTACAATAAATACTCAACTACTCAATTTATCAACCTTTTTGCCATATTTGCTTTATCTATCTGTGTGTGTGTGTGTGTGTGTATGTGTGTATATTCTTTTTTCTTTCTTTTTATAATTTTCAATTGAA